CCCAAATAAACAAAATCAGAAATGAAAGAGGTGAAATAACAACTGACTCAACAAAAATACAAAGGATTGTAAGAAAATACTATGAACAACTATACTCTACCAAATTGGGCAACCTGGATGAAATGGACAAATTCCTAGGAAAATACAACCTTCTAAAACTCAATCAGGAAGAGTCAGAAAACTTGAATAGGCTATTAATTTCTGATGAAGTTGAAGCAGTAATCAAAGGGCTCCCAGCACACAAAAGCCCTGGCCCAGATGGCTTCACAGGGGAGTTTTACCAAACATTCAAAGAAGAATTAACACCTATCCTCCTCAAACTATTTCAAAAAATCCAAGAGGAAGGAACACTTCCAAGCTTTTTTTACAAGGCCAGCATTAGTCTAATTCCAACACCAGATAAAGACACTACAAAGAACGAGAATTATAGGCCAATATCCCTGATGAACATAGATGCTAAAATCCTCAACAAAATATTAGCAAATCGGATCCAGCAATATATTAAAAAGATCACACACCATGACCAAGTGGAATTTATTCCAGGGATGCAAGGCTGGTACCATATTTGCAAATCAATAAAAGTGATACATCACATAAACAAATTGAAAGATAAAAATCCCATGATCATATCAATAGATACAGAAAAAGCATTTGACAAAATCCAACACCCATTTTTTATAAAAACTCTCAGCAAAGTGGGAATAGAGGGATCATACCTCAACACAGTAAAGGCCATATATGACAAACCTACAGCCAACATCATACTCAGTGGGCAAAAACTAAAACCATTTCCCCTAAGAACAGGAACAAGACAGGGGTATCCAGTTTCACCACTTTTATTCAACATAGTATTAGACGTCCTAGCCACAGCAATCAGACAAGAAAATATAAAAGGCATCCAAATTGGAAAGGAGGAAGTAGAACTGTCATTATTTGCAGATGACATGATATTGTACTTAGAAAATCCTAAAGACTCCACCAAAAACCTACTAGATTTAATAAATGAATTCAGCAAGGTAGCAGGATAAAAAATTCACACCCAGAAATCGATGGCATTTTTATACACCAATAATGTACTCTCAGAAAGGGAAACTAAAAAAAGAAAAAAAAAATCCCATTTACCATTGCAACTAAAAAAATAAGCTACCTAGGAATAAACTTAACCAAAGATGTGAAAGACCTGTACTCAGAAAACTATAGGACACTGAAAAAAGAAATAGAGGAAGATATAAACAAGTGGAAGAATATACCATGTTCATGGATTGGAAGAATTAATATCATTAAAATGTCCATACTACCCAAAGCAATCTATAAATTCAATGCAATCTCTATTAAAATACCAACAGCATGTTTCACAGATCTAGAACAAACACTTCAAAATTTATATGGAACCAAAAAAGACCCCAAATAGCCATGGCAATCTTGAGAAAGAGGAACAAAGTTAGAGGGATCACAATACCAGATATCAAGTTATACTACAAAGCCACTATAATCAAAACAGCCTAGTACTGGCACAAGAACAGACATACAGATCAGTGGAACAGAACAGGGAACTCAGAAATTGACTCTCTTTACAATGGAGTAAAGACAGTCTCTTCAATAAATGATGTTGAGCAAATTGGACAAGTACTTGTGAAAAAATGAAACTAGACCACCAACTTACATGATACACAAAAATAAACTCAAAATGGTTGAAAGACTTAAATGTAAGATGTGAAACCAGAAAAATCCTAGAAGAAAACATAGGCAGCAAAATCTCAGGCATCTCTCATAGCACTATGTTTGCTGAGAAACAAACAAAAAAAATAAACAAATAGAGCAAGAGAAACAAAGAAAAAAAATAAACAAATGGGACTGTGTCAAAATAAAAAGCTTCTGCACAGCAAAAGAAACAATCAACAAAATGAAAAGGGAGCCCACTGTATGGGAAAACATATTTCCAATGACACATCTGATAAAAGGTTAATATCCAAAATATATAAGGAACTCATACAACTTAACAAAAGAAAGACAAACAATCCAATTTAAAAATGGGTAAATGACCTAAATAGACACTGTTCCAAAGAGGACATACAGATGGCCAAGAGACATATGAAAAAATGCTCAACGTCACTAATCATCAGAGATGCAAATTAAAACCACAATGAGGTATCACTTCACACCTGTCAGAATGGCTCCATCAACAAATCAATGAAGGACATGTGCTGGTGAGGGTGTGGAGAAAAGGGCACCTAGTGCACTGCTGGTGGGAATGCAGACTGGGGCAGCCACTATGGAAAGCAGTATGCAGTTTCCTCAAAAGATTAAAAATTGACCTGCCATTTGGCCCAGTGATCCCATTTCTAAGAATATATCCTAAGAAACCCGGAAACACCAATCAGAAAGAACTTATGGACCTCTATGTTCATAGCAGCACAATTCACAATAGCTAAGATCTGGAAACAGCCCAAGTGCCCATCAGTAGATGAGTGGATAAAAAAGCTGTGGCACATTTACACCATGGAATACTCTGCAGCTATAAAAAGAAGGGTCTCTTATCCTTTGGCACAGCATGGAGGGAACTGGAAAGTATTATGCAAAGGAAAATAAGCCAGTCAGAGAAAGACAAGTACCACATGATCTCACTTATATGTGGAATATAATAAACAAAATAAACTGATGAAAAAAATGGATCCAGAGACATAAAAGCATGGAACAGACTGAGGGATCTCAGAGGGAAGGTGAGGATGGGGGAGTGGGTGGGGAGAGATTAATCAAAGAACTTATATGTTTATATGCATAACCCATGGACACAGACATTGGTATGGGGAAGGCCTGGGGGTAGGATGGACGTGGGGTGGAGGGAATCAATGGGGGTAAAAAATGGACATCTGTAATATTTTCAACAATAAAGATTTTAAAAAATAAATAAAATAAAATATGTTGGCCTTTTTCAAATGAGGAGGATTCATATTTTTGGTAGTAAGGTTATGCTGCTGAGGCAAAGTTGCATCTTTCTGTTTATTGTACATAATTTCACCTACTTACAATGTCTAACATAAAAAATTATTGGAATTACTTCTTTTTTATTTTATTTCTTTTTTAAAGTAACACTTTATTAAATTTATTGGGGTAACAATGGTTAATATGAACATTTAGGTTTCAGGTGTGGGTTTCTGTGTTACAAGATCTGTATATTGCTCTATGTGCCCACCACCCAAAGTCATATCTTCTCCCATCACCATATATTAAGACCCCCTTCACACCACCACCCCGCCCTCCTCCACCACACTGCTGTCTGTGTCTATGATTTTCAGTTTTAATCCCACATGTGAGTGAAATCATATGGTTCTCAGCTTTTTCTGACTGACTTATTTCATCCAACATAATATTTTTAAGGTCCATCCATGTTGTTGCAAATGGCAATATCTCATCCTTTCTCGTGGCTGAGTAGTATTCCACTGTGTACACATCCCACATCTTCTTTATCCAGTCCTCTCTTAGGACACTTTGGTTGTTTCCATGTCTTGGCCATTGTGAATAGAACTGCAATGAACACAGGGGTGAATATATCTTTGCAAATACACGTTTTCAAGTTTTTCNCTTTGCAAATACACGTTTTCAAGTTTTCGGGTATATACCCAGGAGAGGGATTGCTGGGTCGTATGGTAGCTCTACTCTTAATTTATTGAGGAATCACCAGAGTGCTTTCCATAGTGGCTGTGCCAGTCTACATTCCCACCAGCAACGAATGAGGGTTCCCTTTTCTCCACAATNCGGGTATATACCCAGGAGAGGGATTGCTGGGTCGTATGGTAGCTCTACTCCTAATTTATTGAGGAATCGCCAGAGTGCTTTCCATAGTGGCTGTGCCAGTCTACATTCCAACCAGCAATGAATGAGGGTTCCCTTTTCTCCACAACCTCTCCAACACTTGTTATTGCTTGTCTTGATAATAGCCCTTCTAACAGGTATGAGGTGGTGTTTCATTGTAGTTTTGATTTGCATTTCCCTAATTGCTAGTGAGATTGAACATCTTTTCATATATCTATTGGCTGTTCGTATGTCTTCTTGGGAGAGGTGTCTGTTCAGGTCCCCTGCCCACTTTTTGATTGGGTTGGTTGTTTGGTGTTGAGTTGAATGAGTTCTTTATATATTTTGGAAACTAAACCTTTGTAGAAGCTACTGTTTGCAAATATCATCTCCCATCTGGCTGGCTGCCTGCTTGTCTTGCTGTCAATTTCTTTTGCTGTGCAGAAGCTTTTTAGTTTGATATAGTTCCATTCATTTATTTTTGCCTTTCCTTCCCTTGCCTTTGGGGTCAAGTTCATAAAATGTTCTGTACTACCAAGGTCCTTAAGTTTGGTACCTATGTTTTCTTCTGTGTAACTTATTATTTGAAGTATTTCTTTAGAGCTGATGAACATTTATCTATGCTACAGTATTTCTTACCTTTGTATAAATCTGTGGCACATGTCCTCATTCACTGTGCTGTTTGTTACACTGGCTTATTTTACTGGGCCACAGAGGGCCATGTGTTTATCATGCAGGGCTCTGTACCTTGTCCATGTGAGTCCTGAGGTGGGTATTGATGATAGTTAATCTGTACCTAGGAACAGCATGGATTTTGCCTTAAACACTTGGTCATGGACACGAGGAGGGAGTTAGATGCAGCCAACTCTTTCCTTTAAAGAGTTTGTAATATTATTAGGGATACGCACTATACACATTGAGAAAATCTCAAAAAAATGTAAAGCAGTTTGAAGGTAAGAGCAGATAAAGGGGCACTAATACAAATAAGGGCCGAGAGAAATCTACATACCACACAGAATATCAACAAAAGAATTGCAAAGTCATGTGGCGTATCTCCCTGCTGTCTCATGGTCCTCAATGTACCACTTATTAATATCAATGTGACTAAATGCCTGCCTTTTTCAGGTGTGTATTTCTTCACCTTCAGCATGATGAAGCACGAGGACGTTGAGGAAGTGTATGTGTACCTCATGCACAACGGCAACACAGTCTTCAGCATGTACAGGTGGGTGGTCTTCTCTACCACAGGTAACATCCACACCACTATTTGCTCAAAGGATGGCCAACGCCAGGGTGCCATACAGGAATCAATAAAGCCTGGCGTGGCCCCTGCCATCACTGAGAGCTCCCATACACCAGTATATAGCCAGATTATTACTAACTGGGAAGAAATAAACCTGATGAACTTGAGCATAAACAGGTTAAGAGGCCTTGAGCTAATTACTAGCAACACTCTCCATAACTAATAATTTGTATTCTTTTCTTAACTCATTATTTCTTTCCTTCCCTCTCCTTTTCTCCTGCCGTCTTACTCTCCCACCCCCTCTGCTTGGAGTTTAGCCCCTTAGACGGCCCTGTCTACCATCCCTGTGGGCTGGTGGGTGAATTGAGAGTTGGGAGTAGGTTCTTCTCTTTTGGCTATGCTGTTGCTCTGATATTTACCAAGCAACCTGGCACTAGGGCTCTTTGGGGGGAAATTTTATTTTAAAAAGAAATATTTCAACTGGCTCTGATGTAAGTTTAGGGTGTGGGAAAGAGGCGGAGAGCAAACATCTTCCCCATAATTGAGTTGGTGGTACGTTACCTATGGAAAACTTTGGGGCTGTCATTTCCCTTTTGATGACTTGTGAGGATTGCCATGTTTTCTTCTGGAGCTGGGCCTCCAGTAGGAGGATGCATCTGAGATGCCAAAAGAGAAAAAGATGAGTCAGGTAGGAGAAGGTGCTGCAACAGAGAGATGCAGCATAGAGTGGCTCAGACATCCTAGAGCTCTGTTCTTGAGCAGTTCAGTGTTGGGGGAAGTACAAGGCAGAGAGGAAGGAGGAGGGGACTGTGAGGTTGGGAGAACAGGTGGGGCTCTGCCCAGTTGTTGAACATGCAGTCTGGTGGACATTCTGACTTCTATAAAACGGACTTCCAAATTCTTGCTGGTAATGGTCTTTGCCACAGTCAGAAGCTTGTGGAAATTTCTATGCATCAGGCATTCTATTCAGAGAACTTTGCCACATTTCCCCCACCTAACTTCACTCAACCAACGACAGCAAAGAAATGTCAGTAGCTCCTATGGAAGAGGGGACGTGAAGTTTGGTGAACAGCTGGCCTTCTCTGCCCCTCTGGCTACCAAGTATCCGTTGGACCCTTCTTTCCAGACTTATAATACATGTCTCCCCATCTCTGCCCCCATGGGAAGTACAATAGACTGCAGTTCATGCATCCAGCCCAGAGCCCAGAATCTCAGAGGATGAGCAGTCCTTTTCTTCAAGACTTTTTCTAGGCTATTTTTCTCTTTGGCCCCTGATTCTGTCCTCTGGGAGGGTCTTCCTTGTTTATTTGTCTCCATGGCCACATCTAAAGGGTGAATAGGTTCTCCTTGGGCAACTTTCACAGCCCACTTTCTGCTGGTGCAAATTCAAAGGCTAAGAGAATTTAGTTGAACATCTCAAATTCTTCTTAGGCCAGGTTTGTTCTTTTTGGGGTAATACCATTTTCTCAGGAACTTAGCAGATTTTTTAATCTATTTTGCAACCAGTCAGTTATATGTGTTAATGAACCACATTCGATGTTATTTTATTGACAGATACAGTTTTTCAGCTTGTTATTTCCTTGATTTCTTGTCATTACACCTTTCTCTCTCAACTTAATAGTGGCTACTAGAAGACCTTAAAAAACAATAGGATTCCCTTTTCTGCTCAGCCTTGCCAGTGCTTGTTATTTCCTGTCTTTTTGATAATAGCCATTCTAATGGGTATGAGGTGATATCTCATTGTAGTTTTGATTTTCTCTTATCTGATGAATTAATGAAGTTGAGCATCTTTTCATGTACCCATTGGCCATCTGTATGTCTTCATTAGAAAAATGTTTGTTCAAATTCTCTTCCCATTTTTAATCAGATTGTTTGTGTGTGTTTTTTCTTTTTGCTATTAAATTGTATGAGTTTTAAATACATATTTTGGATATTAGCCCTTTATCAAACACATGATTTGCAAATATTTTCTCCCACTTAGTAGGCTGTCTTTTCATTTGTTGATGGTTTTCCTTGCTGTGCAGAAACATTTTAGTTTGATGCAGTCCCACTTGTTTATTTTTGCTTCTGTTGCCTTTGCTTTTGGCTTCAGATTCCAAAAATTATCTCCAAGACTGATGTCAAGGAGCTCACCACCTATGTTTCCTTCTAGTTTTATGGTTTCAGGCCTTACATTCAAGTCTTTCATTCATTTCGAGTTAATTTTTGTACAGGGTATAAAATAGGGATCCAGTTTCATTCATTTGCATGTGGCTGTCCAGTCTTCACAACACCGTTTATTAAAGAGACTGTCCCACAAAGACAGTACTGTTAACCCACCAGATTTTGTCACAGGCTGTGTGTCTATTTGACTGAATGATAAGTCTTAATAGGCCAATATCAGCATATCTCTGTTCTTTCTGGTATAAAGCACTTGGCTTTTCCAACCCTGTTAGGCCCCAACATTCTAGACTCTTTCTGCTTTCTCTATCTACCTCCAACATGTTAAGTTAGTTCTTGTGTGAGATCACCTATGCTTGAAACATCTTTCTAAAAGAAGCAAAGAATATTTTGGCTTTTTCAATTCCTTCCTTTCTTAATGGTTAATCTTGGTAGGCATTAGGCCTACCTTCCAAGTTATCACATGTTTTCTCAAAGGTTTTGCCACAGCTTAACATGGGTCTCCAGTTTCAAGCCCACAATATTTCTTTACCCCTCTCTGCCTGGCCATGAGTCAATGCAACGTACAGATGGTCCCTGACTTACAAGGATTCGACTTACAATTTTTCTGCTTTACGAATGTGTGAAAGCCATACACATTCAGTAGAAACCATACTTCAAATTTCATGCTGCTGGGCAGCGACAGGAGCCACAGCTCTCAGTCACATGATCATGAGGGTAAATAAGAGATACTCTACAATGTATTCATTGTGTTAGATGATTTTGCCCAAATGTAGGCCAATGTAAGTGTTTTGAACATGTTTAAAGTAGGCTAGGCTACACTATGATGTTCAGTAGGTTTGGTGTATTAAATATGGTTTGACTTATGGTATGTCAAATTATGATGGATTTGGACATAATCTCATTGTAAATCAAGGAGCATCTGTATTTTGTTTGGGTTATGGCAGCCCTCTCTCTAGTACCAAATTCTGAATTAGTTAGGGTAGACTAAACTACTGTAACATTGGCCCAGTGTAAAGGCTTGAACATAGTAGAAATTCCTTTTCTTCTCATGGAACAGCCCAGAGTGGTTGTTCCAGGTTGTGGCAGATGACAGAGAGTTTTCCTCTATATAGTCTTCAAGAACTCAGGCTTCAGCAAACAACTTCTAAGGTCATCCTGGTCATTGTCATTAGCATCTTACACAATCATAATGGGGAAGGATCAAAGAGGAGTGTTTGTGAGAGTTGCACTGGTCATTTTGATAAGTGGCACACATGGCATTTCTGTTCACGTATCATTTAAAGAACTTACTCACAGGATTATGCCTGAATGCATGAGAGCTGAGAGAGGAGGGGAGGGAGGATTTTGGTAAAGAGCAGGCTGTCCATTGCAAAGATTAAGTAGTTGGTACCTTTTTTTCTTTTCAGCTATGAAACCAAGGGGAAATCAGATACATCCAGCAACCATGCAGTGCTGAAACTGGCCAAAGGAGATGAGGTTTGGCTGCGAATGGGCAATGGCGCTCTTCATGGGGACCACCAACGATTCTCTACATTTGCAGGCTTCCTGCTCTTTGAAACTAAGTAAATATATGAATAGACCAGCTCCACTATGGGGAAGACTTGATCTAAGCTGGCATTGTTATGATCTGAGGGATATTAGAGTTGAGGCTCTACATGTTGTATTTTTTTTTTAAATGTGTTAGTTACATTGCTAATAATACAGACACAGCAATAATGTGGGTTGACTCAGGGGCTCAGAAGAAGAAAACACAAAACAGTTTTCCCAAGTAGCCTTGACTAATACACGCACCACCTTTATCATTCTGCCCTAGGCACCTAAAAGAGAATTCCCCTCCTGACCCAGGTTGGAAATAACTGTTCCCATCAGAGGGGTATTTGAGAAGAGTTTTGGCGGCTCTGTTTTTAATTTAATAGCAGCTTTCAGGAACCCCTGAGGTTCTGAGTCCATCATTATAACTTTTCAGCAAATAGGATGCAGTGATTAAGATAGAGCCAGGGCAAGAACAGGGGCACTTGCCAGGACCGAGGTACCAGAAACATTTGTAAAGCCTAGACTGGGAAGTAACACTTTGATCCAGTGGGTCAANGGGGCACTTGCCAGGACCGAGGTACCAGAAACATTTGTAAAGCCTAGACTAGGAAGTAACACTTTGATCCAGTGGGTCAACATTCATGAATATAGTATAGATATTTTTTAGTAATTCCTGATAGCTTTTAGATAACAAAAGTATTCACAATGCCCACAAATAATCAACTCATCCTTTTATTATTATTATTTTTTTNAGGAAGTAACACTTTGATCCAGTGGGTCAACATTCATGAATATAGTATAGATATTTTTTAGTAATTCCTGATAGCTTTTAGATAACAAAAGTATTCACAATGCCCACAAATAATCAACTCATCCTTTTATTATTATTATTATTATTTTTTTAAATAAGGATGCTACTGTAAGTAAATCCTAACTTATAATTGTTTGTATTTTTCTAAATAGAATTTTCTCATGATCCAGAATTGGGTTGACTAGATCTGGTTAATTAGGTTTACTCTTTTCCACTGTATTTTTTAGATTACAATAGATCTTTGTTGACGGTGACCTGCTGGTAAGTTTAGGTCCACAGTGTACAGACAGAATCACCTTTTCTCTGGATTTGGAAATTGCCCTAATAAACTTTATACACACTGACAAGTCATGTTGAAGGAGCTGCAGACTCAGTTATACACAGTCAAACTAATTGATACAAAATATAAGGGCATTCCACTTAGGAGACATACAATAAAATCTCTTAACCTTCTTAAAATAAAAATGATATGATATTTTAAATTACCGTGTTTAACCAATATTCACAGAGCAGCTGTGCCACTTGACTTTTGCCTATCCCTTGCCTCAAAATCTATTCTCCAAGGATTAAATTAGTCACCAAAGCAATATTCATGAGAGTGCACCATAGATACTATCTGAAGATAATACTCAAAGAGAGTACCTAAAACTGGTTTATTCTAAGCAAAGGAAGTATCACTGGAATATGTGTTTACCCTGATATTGACATATTTAAAATGCACTGGAGAGATGCTGTCTGACAAATATCATATAATGAATTCCCTAATAAGTGGTGAGCCCTTAATTTGTTTTCTGTTACAATTTAATTTCCACAGAGGCCTGTAAATTATGGGTTTACTGGTATTGATTACCCCCCCCCACCCCGCCCATAGCTGGAAGCAGAGAAAATTAATTAGCACTGCCCTATTAGTTAACAGTGCATTTCATGCTCAGTTCAGCCTGTGATCCTTCTCTCTCTGTTTGCAAATATTTGTAAACTCTTCCTGAATCCACATGCAATGCTATTTAAAAGTGAATGGATATTAGCTAAAATATGCTTCACTGGTAATATTTTCATGATTTTGTATATGTCCCCCATTCCTCCCCCCTCCCCCCAGAGCCAGTGGGGTCATGGGGTTGAAGTTTACTATTACCAAATGTCAAAAATACCCGTAAAAGTGCACTGGCAATAGATATTTGGATGTTGCATGCTGTCTAAGGAACTCCATAGCTAAAGAACATACAGTACAAGTAAAGTGCCCAGAGGACGATGTTGGCCTTGGCTTTAGATCAAACTGAGGCTAGAAAAAAGTAATAAGCATCATGTGAATAATAAACACATCTTTGTTAAATGTGCTGTTTTATAATGATCTTAATAAAGTTGAATAGTCATACGGTTGTAAGTCACTATGATTTGTTAACACAAAGTTAAAATACTTTCATGCAGAGTCATACAATCAATTACGTGGACACAGAGCTGGGTCACTTGTCTACCAAAGACTTCACTTTTCAGTTAGTCCGTTGTTATAACTTCAACCTTCTGAGTTTTTAAGACTTTGATGTTTAGAGGACACTTTAATGAAATCTGAGTATCCTGAAGGGGAAGGGATCTTCATCACAACTAGAAGTCTTTCTATGTTGGATGCCCAAATTCCAGTTTTCACCTTAGTACAGACAGACACCCAAGGTTTGGTTGTGGGCTGGTGGAAAGCACTTGGGACTTGCAAGTAAGTCCCAGGTGTGAAGAAGAGTGGTTAGTAAGGAAGGTGGGAGAAGGCCAATATAATTATCAATGTTTACCAATTGTACCCTTTACAGGAATTAGATTTCAAAGGTTGATTTTACAAGTCTTCCTAAAACTGAGACTCTACAGAGGAGATAGTAGGTAGGTGTCATGGGAAATTTAAAGGTATCATCTAAGCAACCAACTTTAAACTCTGAAACCCAAGCGAAGGAAACTCCATAAATGAAGCATCTGGGGTTCTGCTTACTGCAGAAATTCAGCCTGTACAGCATAGAGCTGTCCCACAAAATGATCAGGTTGGGTGACTTCCCAGTGTCGAAAGGGCTGCATTTGTTGTTCAACATAATCTGAACAACAAACAGATTATATTGAAGGAATATTATTGAGCAAACTGTGAACAATCGCTGAAGTCAAAAATATTCAAGCAGAGGATAGAATAATTAAATATAAACTGCAAAGGACATGATGAACTGGAATTGATAAACATCTATTTTGATAAACATCCTGAACGCTGTGCTATTCCAGAAACTACTCAGCATTGAAAGTGCAATTCTTACCTCCCGTGAGTTTTTAACCTGAGAAGAGAAAACTTCCGAGATGCCCTAACTTAAATGACAGCAGGCTGGAGGGTGGGAGGAAGAGGCAAGAGAAGCTCACCAGTTAGCAGTCAGGGGCTAAAACCAACAAAAGACCACTAGCGTTCCAGAATGTGTGTGGAAACTCTGAGTCAACTTCCAAGCAGCTATCTGGAAAGAATAGCTGCGCTCCAGATGCCACAGCATCCTGCTTACACATGAACTTTCTGGACTGTTGCCCACAACCAACACAGAAGCATCATATACCTCTTTCTTACAGATAGTCACCTATCCTAGAACTTGCTAGAACTTTCTTTGATTTACTTTTTCCCTGTGCCTTTATCTAGAGCCAATGTAAATCCTTTCAAAGCAACTTACATACTTCTTCCCCAAATGCACGGTATAACAGAGCCCTGTCAACCCGGGGATGGTGGACGCATTTGCCTTCTCCATCCAGTCCTGCTGCTGGCGGTTCAGACTGCACGCCCCAGAACCTGGTCCTCTGGCAAGCGTATAGCTCAATAGACCCTTTCTTTCAGGAAAATTTTCAGCCTCAAAGGTTTTTGTTGAACAAAGCTAACGGAGGAAGAGAGGTAAAGAGGGTAAGTGCATGGATGATATAATGCAAAGAATGTTTTAATAGCCACAGAAGGCAAAGGGCTAGGGAGAAACAGCAACCAGCTCACAGCATGAGACAGCTGTGGAACAGGTGGTATTTCATGGCTGGAGACAGGGTCATGCTTTATTATGTTTGGAGTGTTACTTTTAAAAATATCTTTTTCTTCTTTCCTGATTATAAAACATACTGTAGAAATTTTATAAAATACATAAAAGCATTTAGTATAAAAATTAATCATTGCATCAAACATATTATTAGCATTTTGAAGTATTTGTTAGTCTTTTCCTTCGTATCTTTATGATTTTTATTTTTAGGTATATAGTAGTAAAACAAGTCACTTGACATTACACTTTTTATATATTTTTGTATCTCACTATGGTTTGCCCTAACATATTAAGAGCACTCTCAAATGCTACTAAGGAACATTAGAGAGAGGGGCAAGGTGGTGTTAAATTAATTAAACAAGGAGGCCATGAGACTGAGGTGGCTCTAATGCTGTGGCGGCCTACGTAAGCAAACAAAAACCTAAGCCTGTAAGTACCACAAGATTACAAAATCAAAACCTAAGAACAACCAGTCACAAACAGCCAGCTGTGCTTTCAACTATAGCCCATAAATAGTGTCCTTGCTTTGCTTCCACCTTTTTCCTATAAACGTCTCCCCTGAGTTCATGCTGGTAGAGCACTCCTAACCCCTTCGTGCTTGACGCTGTCAGATTGGAATCGATTTTTGCTCTTCTAAACTCTTAAGGTTTTTAATATGCCCCAGTATGTTTTTTAACAGAGGATATCCAGAGATGAAAGCAAAGAGGCCTCTGGGTCAAGTGAGAGGCCACCCCTCCAAGGGAAAGACAGAGAATCCTGAAATAATTCTAAAACTGATCAAGGCTGTTTCACGCTTGCCGAAAAGATCTTGATTACCATCCTGTCAAATTTTGCCTACACTTCGATCACCTGCCTCAGCATATGCGAGGCCGTACTTACCAAAGATTAGGGCAGAGACCGACTGTGCTGCACCCACTCCCGGCTCTATTAAAATTCCAGAGCAGCCCAAGTGACCAGCCTCCTGCACACACGCCACAGAGAGACCACAGGAAACGATCTGTAAAAGCAGTAGGGCTAGGCCATGACTTACATTATTGTACTTTAAAAAGAAAAAAAGATCGAGCATTAATATTAAAATCTCGGATCTGTAGTTATCCATAGCAATGGCAGGTGACAAATCCAAAATATTTGGAAAGCTCTCATTTGGTCCTGATGAGCCCCCCCCCCCCCATTCTGATATTGTACAGAGTCCATAGTGTAGCCTGAACTTTTTGGGTTTTTTTTTAAGACATGTAATCCACAAAGTTTATAACTCAAAATCGAGCGCACCGAGAAGGGACCTCGAGCGGTTGGTGGGGGCGCTCGACCGACCGCGGCCCAGCGGCGGGCGATCTGCAGACCGCGGTGAAGAGCACGCTCGTCAGCATTCGCTTTGCGTTTCTCCAGGAAAGGGCAGGTGCAGGGGCTCCAGCGGCCCCACGGCTGGGGTCAGAAAGGTGAGGGTACAAGTTCCTAAGAGGACCGCGACAGGCCCCACGCCCGGGCGCTTTCGGAAGGGGCCGCGGGAGGACGCGGAGGACGCGT